GGTTTAGGGTTTAGGGTTTAGGGTTTAGGGTTTAGGGTTTGTGGTTCAGCTGGACAGTACGGTGGTTACGGAGTTATACCGCCTTGTTGGGGGTTTGAGGCCTCCAGCAGATAAGGGGCCCATCATAGGCGAGAGCTCGGGGCCCCTTCTTGTTTCTTCTCCTGTGAGGGTTTAGGGTTTAGGGTTTAGGGTTTCGGGTGGAAAGGTGCAGAAGCAAGGGTTTAGGGGTTCTAGCGGCGCGCAGACTTTAGGGTTTAGGGTTTAGGGTTTAGGCCGTTTTGTCTTCTGCAGGAAATCCCGATGGAAGATCCGCCAAACACAGAGGCCCTGGTCAGATTAGGGTTTAGGGTTTAGGGTTTAGGGTTTAGGGTTTGGGTTTTGGGGTGTAGCTGTTTGTGTGTGTTCTCGCCTCTCTGTCTTTGCTGATGAGGGTTTAGGGTTTAGGGTTTAGGTGGTGCGTTGCATATGGTTGCTGCACTCTCCCTTTCCCCTCAAACCCTAAACCACAAACCCTAAACCCTAAACCCTCGGCATGCATGGATTGGGGTGTACAGGCAGCTGCTGCACTTGAGGAGTTTATTCTAAATGAAGAAGCAGAAGCAGCAGCAAAAAGTTTGTTTATTATTTCTAAGCTGCTGAGCAATGCAGCAGAGCACCCTCATGATGAGCGCTTCAGGAGAATTAAACTCGTAAACCCTAAACCCTAAACCCTAAACCGCAAACCCTAAACGACCCCCCCTGCACGGCTCATCGCCCTAAACCCTAAACCCTAAACCCTAATAGAACAAAGCAACGCCCTGTACCAGAAGCAGTAACTCTATCTCAGAGGTGAATTCGGCTCAAAGTAGGGGTTTAGGGTTTAGGGTTTAGGGTTTAGGGTTTGGGGTTTGGTGCTGCAGGACAACCCAAGAGTTAAGGCAGCCATCAGCAACCACCCGCCTCTTCTCCGTCTCCTTCGTCTTGGTAGGCCTAAACCCTAAACCCTAAACCCTAAACCCTTAACTCTAAACCCTAAACTCTGAACTCTACGCCCTACGCTCTCATCCCTAAACCCTAAACCCTTAACCCCACTATCGACAACTCTTCATTTTGCTGCTGTGCCAGCTTAAACCCTAGAACGCGTAGGGCGTAAGCGGCGTCTCTTAAGCTCTAGGGCTTAGGGTTTAGGGTTTAGGGTTTAGGGTTTATGCTGCTGCAGCGGGATTCACTGGGGGGCCCCAGGCCACTGAGCTTCTGCTCGCCGCCGATGCCTCTATGCTGCGTCTGCGAGCTTGTTTAGCTGCTGTGCAGCAGCAGCAGCAGCAGCAGCAGCCGCAAGAACAGGAGCAGGGGCAGCAGCAAGAACAGCAGCAGCAGCAGCAGCAGCAAGAGGAGGAGGAGCAGCAGCAAGAGGAGCAGCAGCAGCAGCAAGAGGAGGAGGAGCAGCAGCAGCAGCAGCAACGTAAGTGTGAGCAGCAAGAAAAGGAAAACCAACACCCACAGCAGAAAGTGGAAGAGCAGCAGCAAAAGGAGCAGCAGCAGCAGCAGCAGCAGCAGCAGCAACAGCAAGGCATGGCTCAAGCCCCCCAGCACCCAGAAGAGCACACGCAGCAGCAGCAGCAGCAACAACACTTGCAGCAGCAGCAGCAGCAAGCCCAGCAGCAGCTTCAGGGGCACCGTCAACCCTCGGTATCCTTAGCAGCAACAAATAGCAGCAGCAGCAGCAGCAGCAGCAAGCTGCAGCAACAATACGTGCTGTAAGGACAACAACACACAGCAGCAGCAACAGCAGAAAGAAGCAACAAGCAGCAACGAGCAGCAGCAGCTGCTGCTGAGGCAACAGCAGCAGCAACTGCGACAGCAGCAGCAAAACGGAAAAGCAGCTGCTGCTATGCAGCAGCAGCAAACAGCAGCAGCTGCAGCAAACAGCAGCAGCAGCCAATAGACGCCAGCAACAGACAGGAAGCAGCGCTATCACACAGCGGCAGCACCCGTAGCCCCAGCAGCAGCAGCAGCAGCAACAGCAGCAGCAGCAGCAGCAACAGCAGCAGCAGCTGCAGCAGCAGCAACAGCAGCAGCAGCAGCAGCAGCAACAGCAATCCCTAGCTTGCAAAGTTGTGCATGCATTATGTTTAGTTGTGCAGACACCCCAAGTGCCAATCGCCTCAGCGGACTAAGAGGGGCCCTCGGCAGCCCCCAGCTAGCTGTAGCTAGCTGTAGCTAGCTACAGCTATTTATAGCTAGCTGTAGCTAGCTACAGCTATTTATAGCTAGCTGCCGCTATGGCTAGCTACAGCTAGCTACAGCTAACCATAGCCAGCTACAGCTGGTTATAGATAGATAGCTACAGCTAGCTGCAGCTAGCTACAGCTAGCTACAGCTAGCCAGTGCTAGCCGCAGCTAGCCACTAGACAGCCAAGTTTGCGCCCTAGGTAGGGCCCCCTAGATAGCTAGCTAGCTAGCTAGCTAGCTAGCTAGCTAGCTGGGCTAACGTTTGGTGAGGCTAAAGACGTTCTTCTGAATGCAACACAGTCAGCACAAGTTGAAACCCCAAACCCTAAACCCTAAACCCTAAACCCTAAGCCCTGCAGACGCAGACGAAAATGTGCTGTGCAAGCCCCTAGACCCTAAACCGCAACGTCGGAGCTCTAAACCCTAAACCCTAAACCCTAAACCCTAAATCACCTTGGCTTGCTCTGCCACAATCTTCAAAACCTTCTGCGCCCGCACTGCCGCGTCTTCTGCTTCTGCACAGCAGCAGCAGCAGCAGCAGCAGCAGCAGCAGCAACAGTAGCAGTAGGAGCAGCAGCAGCAGCAGCAGCAGCAACAGTAGCAGTAGGAGCAGCAGCAGCAGCAGCAGCAACAGTAGCAGCAGCAGCAGCAGCAGCAGTAGCAGCAGCAGCAGTAGTATGCGTTAGTATTGGTGATTAGGGTTTAGGGTTTAGGGTTTAGGGTTTACCTCGTCTGCGTTTCTCCTGCCTGGAGAAGTTGTAGAAGCCCTCAAGCTGCTGCTGCTTTTTTCTTTTTTTGTTTGCTGCTGCAGTGTTAATCCCTGCAGCAGCAGCAGCAGCAGGACCCAGATGGGGGCCCCACACGGCCCCTGCTGCTGCTGCTGCAGCTTGCTGCTTAAATAAGCTGTCTCCTTCTTGCTGCAGCAGCATTGGGGTGTCTGCGCGACGAAAGCCCTTTATTGTTTCTCCGTCTCCAGCGCTGTTCTTAGGCCTGCAAAACCCTAAACCCTAAACCCTAAACCCTAAGTCCCAAACCCTAAACCCTAACCCCTAAACCCTAAACCCTAAACCCTCAGCAAGACAGCATCCACGCAAACAGTTTATTTGGTGTTGTTTCGGGCTCAACGACCGCCCTCATTCGTCTAATCTTCAGGGTT